AGTACAAGGGACTTAGTCCCACCCCACTAGCAATAAAAAAAAGAAGACTGCTCCACTTTCTTCAATTATCCTATCATCGGGTGCTGTGTTCTCTTAGTACTGATGGAATCGTTAAATAACCTTACATATAATACGAAACATTTTCCACTGTTTTGTGTGTCACTCCTTTCCTTCCCAAAGATGCGTCAAATGTGAATTTCAATGTGTGTGTGTGTGCGCATGAGAATGTGTGTGCGCGCACACACACACACACACATAGATATATATTTCCCCTCCCCTTGAGAATATACAAATGAGCTTGTAACTAAAATGTAAGTATTTGTTAATACTGCAGGATAAGGATGCCGAAATAGGACAAAGAGAAGGATTCAGTGAGAAGGACCTCGAGAAGCTGAAGCTAATGTATGCAGATGTTTGATAAGAGATGACAAGTTATTTCAATGTGACAACAAAACTTCGCCAACATGTCAGTGCCCGCAGAGCCACTTAGTAAGAATGAAATTCATGTTAAAAACATGTAAACTTAAACATGTCAAATGTTACTGTCTATATTTCTTATGTTTCCCAAAGTGAACCAGAACATGATCACATTTCAGCTCATCCCAAACCCCTTCCATTTTCTGGGACAATCAATCTTATCACTGGTGGGCTCCACAGTGGTAACACAGGCTTGCATTGCAGTGTTACTGGCTCCCTTGGCCCTGAACACACACATAAAACGAACACCTATTGAGCAAGTCATATCTAACTCAAGGGACAGTCCTTCTGAAAAAAGCTAACAGTTGCTTAGTTAATCAATTAGTTAAGACTATCAGCATTTTATTACACCCGAACATTCATGACAGCCCTCCATTGATCCCATCCTGAAAGAGATGAATCCATTCCATGCTCTCCCAACCTGCTCCTTAAGATCCATTCTAATTTGACCCTCCCACCTACACCTAAGTTTTCTTCACAGTTCCTTGGCTACAGGTCTTCCTACAAAATTCTATATTGACTTTTATTCTTTCCCATGCATGCCACATGCCCTATACATTTCATCCTTCTTGATCTGATCATTCTAACAATACCTGGCAGTCTATCCAATATCATTTGTAGTTCCCTTAACAATGCTATCAGTTGCTCAAACTACACAGCATCAAGATCTCATGAGTGAATAATAAATATCAGAAAACATGGAAAGAAGGTGTTATGGTTTAATTTGTGGTAAATATTGTTTCTTGTTCATCATCAAGGAAGGGTGATACAAATTGTCCTCATGATTAGGAAGTTATTAAAATCTTCAAAATATGACAAGAATCAGACTCGTCATACTGAAGACTCTGCTGAACAAACTTGGAATGACATACTCTCCGAGATGTTTTAGATGAGTAAATTTGCTTGGAGGGACTGAAGAAAACTACAAAACCCTCAGTCAGCACAGCCCATCTGCAGGCTGAGATTCAAACTCAACCATGCCCATCTATGTTTTTCTTAGAAAACTACTGAATGCATTTTCTTTAAATTTGGTGCTCAGTGATATACAGATTTCATTATAGCTCTAAGAAGTCCAGCACATCACCTACAGCAGGAAACATATCTCTTGGCATTGGGAGAGAGTGAAAGACAAAATAAATTATACCCTTTCCTGGTCTTTGGCACAGTTTATATTGTCAGAACTGAGGTGGCAAGCCTCTGTGATGTAAAATACCAGTTCCAACAAGTCTGAACAATTAATAAAGCCAAAAGGAAAGACAAAGGCAAGAACTCCGTTATCATAAGTAAAAAATGAAGTGCTAATATATTTTAGCACACAAATTGCTTATGAAATTAGAATAAAAGCAATTAACCCTCTCTAAACTATGCTCTATGAAATAAAAAAAACAATCTTAACCTGTATCCTGAATATGCTGCCCCAAAAGTGGTATCAAAAGCATGACCAACTTGGATAAAAATAAGCAATTATTACTAGAAAATTAAAAAGGCTTAAATGCTAACCACTTGGGTTAGAAATGTGGGGTTTGCTCCTACGCGTTCAGAAAGACACGGCCATTTGCCTGTGTCCGTTTCTGATTAGAGTTCAAGAAGTTTGACCACACATGACATTTGATCCTGCAGCTTGCAGTATGCAACTTGAACTTAGCAACACAGCACATCTCCTATTGGCTAATGCAACATCAGCAGCCATGCCTCAAACATTGTAACATATGAATCTCCCTACAGTGTATAGGAAGCTAACCCCAAACTGCCAATTTTCTCGATACCAGTTCATCATTCCTAACATAAAACAGATGCCACTGAGGTCCATAACTTTTGTTGCAAACATTTCTGACACAACAAATATGTGAGAAAACAAAAGTTATAAAAGTTGTGTCTCAGCCTAATTAATAACACTCAATGTCATGAAGGTGTATGGTGAAGTGGGGGTGTGGCTCCACCATCCTTAACCTTGACACTAGATGCAGGTGAGTGGTCAGCTTCACATCCCAGTCATTTTACTCGTCATGAAACAACTCCTGGCACCCACTGGACAGAAGGGTCGGTGGGCCCCTGAATCAGTGGTCTGGACACTGGGTAGAGGAGAAAAATCTGTTCCCCCTGCCAGAAATCAAACCCTGAATCCACTGTCGTCCAGCCCACTGCCTAGTAGCTATAATGGCTGCCAACTATGCACAGCATAATGTGACTGACTTTGTCATTTCCACTTCCTCTCCTCCCACTCTTCATTCACTCAGTGTGACATCTTTCCTGACCTCTTGCTTCCCATCTTCATCTTGGTCTTCCTCGTGATTGTTCTCGACCTGACATCCATGCCTCAGGGATGGGACATTGAATTGTATTGTATTGTATTGGAGAGGGTGGGTTTCTCCATGCACTTAGACCAACTGTTGGTCCATTGTGCGTCCCCCTATGATATTCTACCAGTCTCTATTCCCTACCGGTACTGGTGCATGCCATCAGTCCCGACTCAGCCAGCTAGTTCGGCCTCTACTGGCTCAGCGGTATCTCGATGCTTCCCCCATCTACCAGAGGCGTTACAGACTACTGTTGGGCAGGAAATGTCCTGAATTTGGCTCAGTGGTCCCCTTGGGATATGAGGTCCTTCTACATGCCATAAAGCTATGACATGGGACCCACGGTTTAAAGTCCCTCATGGAGGACTTGTTCCCTGAATTTTTCCGCCCTTAAAAATTCCACGGCCTCCGCTGGGTTTGAACCCGCGTACCTTGAGTCACGAGGTGGAACGTTACCCCTAGACTACAGAGGCTGCTAGGGATGGGACATATGGAAATAGGAGACTTCTCAAGGCAAACGTACAGTGGGGCCCAGGTAACTGAGGTCTGACAGGAACCAATGACTATGA